GCGGAGTACTCAATATTGGACTATTCATATTAATACATGCACAATACACTGCTAGCTTAAATGAGAAGACCACGTTGTTGTTTTTCTCGCTTAAGTGACCTGGCTCAGTACACTTTCGTCAAAACACAGATGCTTGCAACCTTGGTCTAGTGAATAATTTAATGCTCCTAATTATTTTCATTCGATTGATCGAAGCTGTGGGTGAGCCAACCATGTCGAAATTTCAGTCTCGTGTGCACTTTATCACAATCTAATCTGCCCCATGCAATGGTGTTTTCACATGGAAGTTCGTAAACGTTGTTCAAGCCCGAAGCTTCAACTAGATTCGTAAAACATCGCGCTAGTATCAAAATCATGGGTAAACTCAACTTTAGCCCTTACAGATTGAATATAAATTCAGATTATTTTGCCTTTGGGCCCACAGCGACGCAGCCACTGTGACTTTTCATATTTCAACGAGGGTTTGTGGACAAACCCACTAATCAAGCATCCAAAGATTTCTTGGCTTTAAGACATTCGTGCGTGACAAAATTTGTTGTATGCACCAAGCAGTCCTTTATGTCTCACGTGTACCATCTTTGAAATGAGTCCGGTGTCAAATGCGGCCCCCTCGCTCGTCAGATTGAGTGGGTCAACGCACACTGCAGAGAGCCACTTTGTCCGTGTATCACTCTTTAGCATCGGCGCCCAATTTCTTGGCATACAGCCGAGCACGCATCGTTCATGGTGCAGCAGCTTCACAAATGGTAAATATTGTATCTTCTAAAGCCAAATAAAATTAAAACAAGAGGAACGTGCCCACAGTAATTTATGTGCATCTGTCGGAACTGCCAGACTTTACTACCGGAATGCTGCCGGCCACCGGCATCTGGCTTTCAAAATGGGGGCCACACGGTTTCCAGCACAACTGGCGCACTTTGTGCTGCTGTGCCCACCAATCGGACGTCATGTGAATACAACCTATAGGGTGGTCTTCGTGGCACACGGGCAAATGTACAAATTTTCTTGACCTTTTAGAATATTTTAGTTATCTCAAATATTCAAAGACCCATGCGTAGCGATGCAATACTTTACCTGTTTTCAACAGCATATCCCAAACTTGTACCTGTGGATATTCTGGAGCATATCAGTGACCATCATGTTATACATCGCACTTTTAATGCACGAGCTCAAGAAACTCCGACAAAGAAAAGAGGCTGATGATATTCTAAAGCGGACACTGAAGGCTTCAATTCAGAGCTGTTTGAGATTTATTTGTCATTTTTGGAAACATGGAACTTGTTCTATGCATGATAACTGAATCCATTTTCACGGTGAACTGTTAAAGCAATGGGAGATATTACATTCAAAAAAGATGGATCTGTGATACAGGAGACAAGCCATGGTTTACCCGAGAGATTAAGCGTTGCTTGAATAAAAAGAAACATTTCGTGAAGCAACACGCACAGATCCCTTGAAGCTGGATCACAATACTTTTCATATTGTAAAGAATGCGCACGACAAATTGAGGCTGTAAAAGATAGGTTTTTCAACTAGGATATCTTCCAATTCCTTAAAACAGATCTAAAAAAAAAATTGGTGGAATGTCATTTTTCTTGCACCCTCTAAAGAATTAGCATTGATTTATGCTGAGTCTGGTGCTGAAATAATTCAAGTGATGTTACTGGTAGCTTTAGTGACTTATTTAGCAGTGTATTGAATGAGGAAAAACCCCTGACCATGTCACAGCAGTTTTCCAATACTTCGACTGTTATGGAGTGTGTTCCTGTGATGGTATTTTTAAAGCTATCGAGCTTTTATAATCATTTTCGAGTCCAGGTCAGGAGGGTCTTCGTACTAAGCTACTAAAAATGACCGAACACAATTCTGCTCTTATACTATTCTTTCAGCAGTCTCTTGGCACTGGTGAAATTCCAGATGACTGGAAATTAGCACATGTGGTACCAATATACAAACAAATTCACAGCATATCCACGGATGATGATGAGTGGGTCGAAGCATCCGTCCAACCACTTTAATCGCACTAGAGCGCTCATCGTACAACTAGGCGGTCACATGCAAGTGATGGACAGACCCATAGCTTTAGGAGCTTCACTCCTAAAAGTGGTGAAAAAAACAATCTAACCAACTACAGACCCATATCATTATTGTCTGTTGTGTGTAAACTACTTCAATATGTCTCATCTTCCTAGCCAGCGTGGCTTTCAATCAATGTGGCGGATTATACAAATCTCATCTTTTTGAACTAGCTACAGACATAAACCTCTACCTTCACTCTTTTGTACAAAGTAATTCTATTTTTATTGATTATGCAACATTTGACTACGTGTCCCATAATCGCCTAATATATAAAATGAAGCTGATTAAGATAGCTGGAAAAGTAGTCAACTGGGTCAAAGAATACTTAAGCAACCGACAGAAAGCCGTTGTGATTAACAATGCTCATTCATCATTTCAACCTGTTATCTTCGGAGTGGCCCTAGGTTTCGTTTTAGGACTTACTCTATTTCTCAATTATGTAAATGATATTGATCAAGGTGTACACTCACGAACCCGGCTATATGTTGGTGACTGTGTTTTGCACTGATCGATAAAATGTGAAGATGACTGTACCAAGCTACACGAAGACTTGCGTACAATTGAAAGATGTTTTTTTCCAGTGGTGAATGAGTGTAAATACTACTGAAATTAAGCTTATGAGATTTAGCATGTCAAGCCAGTTTGCAGAGGAAGCTTACATGTTTAGTGGTGAAGCCTTAGAAAGTGCAGAATTGTTTAGATATCTACGTTTTCATTTTTTTCCCAATTTGTCATGGCAAAATCACGTGGATTTTTATGTTTCCATGGCATGGTCATCACTTGACTTCTTTCATTGTTCGCTTCGTCAGGCTTACAAAAGCTTTACATACTCTACTGTGCACTGCCCGAAACTTGAGTACACCTCATTTATATGGAACCCGCATCAGATGTGTCTTATTAACAAATTAGAATTTTTGCAAAACAAGGCAGTGCATTGCTACCAATTATTGCTACCAAGGCAGTGCATTACTACCAATTATTCACAGTAATCAAGCATTACAAAAATAAAGCATGATCTAAGTCTCATCCCATTGCAGACTAGAAGTAAAATATCCCTGTTAGCTTTTTCCGTCACCTTTTTCATCAACCAAGTACATTCTTTCAAGCAGAAATCTTACTTGCCAAAAAGATTTACCATGTATCAATCATAACTTTAAAATTGAACAACCTTTTGCACGCACAAATCTATTAGTTTTTATGCCTATGCCTAGCCTTTTCAGAATGGTATTTTTTCCCAAGTTACACAGCTGAAATAACAAACTGTGCCTTATTTGAAGACACTCTGAATGAGGCCTGAGAAAGTAGTCTTAAAGCCTTCAAGCACTGAAACATATTTTTAACGCAAAAAAATTCTATCTTTGCCATATTACTGTGATGCCTTTATATAAAGGTCACATTATGCAAGTCTATTTTTTTTACAACATAGCAATTGCAGTAAGATTATGTAAGTTGAGAAGCAGTGTACTACTGGCAATCCAGAAAATGAGAAAATCTTCTCTGGAAGATTTTCTTTACTTAGCTGTTTTTCACATGAATTGTTAAGCTCCCTCCTATGTAATGCCCACGTTTAACCCTTAGGGTAAATTAATAATGAAGATAGGTTAGGACTCCCCTTTGGCTCGCGCTTTTCACAGACGACCTGTGATAGCAACACCATTTCTCCTTGGTGAAACTGACATCTGTGCTTGAAGGAAAGTGCTGGCATTGCGTTGGACTACAAGCTACCCATTAGACATGGAAGTGTAGTCAATACACGCTGTAAGCTAGTGTCAAAATATAGCCTGAGGGAGCGCACCGACCGTAGGTATAAAGTCACAACATTGATAACATGAATTGCTGTTAGTGACTAAGCTAAGTGGGAAATATTTGTCGCATGATGCTTGTAATGTCTCCCTTTTTCCTGCCGCATGTCTTGCTGAATGACTTACTTCATTACCATTTTGTTTTGGTATTTTTAAGCTTCTTTGTCTGCTTTTATTGGATGCCAGCGTAGCAGATCTTACACAACTTGGATCACTGTGCATGCATGGACTACTCAATTAACTGTGAGACATAAATGAAGGGTAAAAATAGCTGTGTGATAAACAGTGTGGGAATTTACTTGTCTGTGCAACTGAGTATTTACCTGAAATATCTGTAATTTCAAGGGGTTGCCTTCAGTGTACCATGTCTGTGAGGATGACGCGCTACTGTGCAGCACAATTCTACTGTGAAGAATAAAAGCTTCTCGATGACAAAATGGTGCTTGCCATTGCAAAAAGTCAACCACGAGAAACAAATTTTTATTTATTTACTGAAAAATACCTTACAGGCCCAAAGGCATTGAGTAAGGAAGGTTACAGTGATTACGGAGGTAAACTTGTAAGGAACAACTATACAATACAGGTTAATAATAACAGCATAATGTGGTGTAACAAAAACTAACAATTCAATAAGTCAGCATCACTTAAAACAAGAGATTACAACTTGCTGATGAAAATAAAGGCCAACATTTCACAGCGGAAAATAGCTGGAAAGTTAAGCAAGTAAAACGACCGCACGATGCTATAATAAAGAAATGCATCTCAAGTTTTTGCTGAAACATGTTAGAATGACTATCAAAGGCGATATTGTCACGAAGTTCATTCCACATGCGGATGACTTGCCGCAGTGCTGATGTGTTAAACGTTTTTGTGTTATCAAACATGAGCGTGAATCTCAGATGATTATGTAACCTGTGTGACGTGTAGAGGGGACATTGAAGGTGCAATGACGATGTTTTGTTACTGTACACGTACTTATGAAGTAGGCATAATAAGGACACGTGACAGCGAACATGCAATGCTTGGAGGGAATGATCACTTTTAAGCTGAAAGACACTGGAATGAATGTCGTAGTTTCTAGAATTGTAACGTGGGGGCTCTGTTCTGAATTGCTTCCAGCATGTTAATTTGATACTGAGCGGAAGGGGACCAAACAAGTGATGCATATTCAAGGTGCGGTCAGACGAAAGTAAGGTAAGACAGTTTGGGAACGTTAGATGGACAATGATGGAGGTTTCGGCGTAAATACTCTAATGTTTTGGAGGGGTCAGTGCAAACAGAAGTGATGTGTTCTAGCAGGGAAAGTCCTGGTGTAAGGTGGACGCCCAGATATTTCTAGTATGATGCCCGCAAAACTATGTCATCTTTTAAGTGGTATGAAAAGTCCGTGATGGTATGTTTTAGTTCAAAACAAACGACTTTGCATTTATTAGTATTAGTGTCATAAGCCGAGTGTTACAGCAGCTAGTGATAGTGATCAGATCATTTTGAAGGATGGGGTGGTCTTTTGGACAGTTCATGGGTTTGTAGAGCATGCAGTCATCCACGAAGATTCTGATATTAGATGGGAGATCATTGATGTAGATAAGGAAAAGTAAGGGGCCTTGAACGCTCCCTTGTGGGACGTCAGAAGACACATACGAAGAGGGAGAAGTAGAATTAATAACGGTTGTGAACTGCTTGCAGAGGGGAAGAAAATTTCGTAGCCAAGATAAAGTGAGGGAGTCTAATCGGAGGGCAGATAATTTTGAAATAAGACTGCAATGGGCGACACGATCAAATGCTTTGGCAAAATCAAGAAATATGCAATCTGTCTGTAGGCCACTGTTTATGTTGTGATGAATGTCTGTGGTAAATTATAATAATTGTGTTTCGCATGACATGCCTTTTCTGAATACTTGCTGGTTTGGGAAGAAGAATTTGCTAGTCTCGAGGTGACTGTATACATAGGAGGCGATTATGTGTTCAAGTAGTTTGCAATAACAGATGCACGTGAGTGATATAGGGCGATAGTTTTTAGGTGAATTCTTATCTTCAGATTTAAACATAGGCGTTACTTTGGCAATTTTCCAGTCATCTGGCAGTTTTTCAGATGACAGCAACTGTGGAAAGATGTGGTATAATGCAATGCTAGATGTGGAAACGGTTTTTTAGCGCCCTAGAGTTGATTTCATCAATACCGGCTGATGAAGATGTCTTAATCTGTTTAATTCGACACGCGATACCATCCACCATGATTTCAATAGGCTGCATGTACTGGAAGTGGTAGTCAGGGATATGTGGCACATTGGAACAATCTTCCCGGCTGAATACAGATGAGAAAATTGAATTAAAAGCAGTAAAACACTCATAATCTGTAAGTGGAATATTTTCATCAAGTAATAACAACTGGTTAAAACCGTGGTCTGGGGATATGAGGCGCCAGAATTTCTTTGGGTTATTTTGCAAAAGTGAAGGTAAGTCGTCGTGAAAATATTTAACTTTGGCATTGGGTATTGCTTTGCAGTAGCCTGTCAAGCACTGCTTGTATTTGTCCCATGACTCGGCACAGATGCTCTTGTGGAGGACCGCTTTCAACTTTAGAATCTTCTGGCTACATTAGGTGAGAAAACAATGCTGGTGTCAAGACAAGGAAAGTTAAGATGACTTTGAGTAATATTGCAAGACGAGCTTGTTAGTATGAGCGCATGTTGAATATAACCCAATCTCTGGTTGGCTTTCCCTACTACTTCATTAATGTGTGGTGTCCAACTAAGGTAAGATGCTTTGAAATTTCGAGATATTTGTACTTTGTTACACGATGAAATGGTTCTTCTTGTAGAGTGCATGTGAATGACAGAGGTTCATGTGACAGAGGTTCAAACATCTGCCACATGTCGCACCATTGTTGAACTTTTCCTAAGAAGTTATTTAAGAGTATCTGGTCACTAATATATTTCACCTCTGTATATATGACACAGTCATCTGCGAATAACCTTGCTGTAACTATGGCCGATTCTTTAATCAGGTCAATAATGTATACCAGGAACAACACAGGCCGAAGAACTGAACCTTGAGGCACCCCTGATCTTACATCACAGACCCCGGACTTATTTTCATCAATACTGACGAACTGTCGGCGATCAGTAAGAAAGTTTTTTTCCCATTTGACTACACCTGTATTGCCTAAAATACCCTTTAATTTAATTATTAATTTTCTATGATTAACCTTATCGAAGGCCTTCTTGAAGTTGAGAAAGATCAGATCTACTTGTCCCTTGCCACCAGTAACATTACTAAAATTGTGGACACTTTCCAGTAATTGTGTAACAGTTGGCAAACCCTTGCGAAACCCATGTTGATAGTTATTCTGTGACAATTTGTTCTGTAACAAAAACAGCCGAATGTACTCAGAAACAATATGTTCTAACACCTTACAGCAGCCTGATGTAAGCGCAAAGGGCCTATAATTTGCAGTAGACGTGGTGTCACTGTATTTAAATGCGGATATAACTTTACTCATTTTCTATTCTTCAGGAAGTGTACCTGACCGTAGTGACTTCGTGAAGATAATGAAGAGCTACTTTGCAGTCCATTCAGCATACCTCTTTAAAAACAAATTTGGTATCTCATGAGGACCTGCCGATTTCTTTGTATTTAGGTTCAGCAGCAAATTTAATACTGCTTCATATGCTAACCGCAATTTCTCTGCAACTGGAAGCTGTTGGCGTACCTCAAATTTTGACTTCTTTCTATCATCATTAATGAAGACATAGCAAAAAAGTCATTGAAGGCGTCTTCTATGTCACGTTTATCCTCAATAGGTTCTTGTTCTGGGCATATTTTAGTGACTGCCTTCTTAGTTGGAGCCAGGTGCCTCCAAAACTCTTGAGGTGATTCACGTAAAAATGTATTCATAGTGACACCATAATACTTGTCCTTAGATTTCTTCATAATTAATTTTAACTGTTTACTTAAGTTTGACATGCCATCATGAACAGCGGAATCGCGTGTACCCTTATAAAGCGCCCTACGCCTTGCCACATTTCTTTTCAGTTGTATGATCTCTCTCGTAATCCATGGGCTGTGCGCCCATTTTGATTTACTTTTGAAAGGAACATAGCGGCTTATACATTTGTGAACTGTTTTCTTAAAGTTTAATCACAATTTATCGATATGTGCAGATTCATCTTGACTAAATTTTTTAAACTTCTCAAAACAAAAGGCCAGTTCATCTATTATTGAAGTATCATCAGCTTCGTTGAACTTTCTGTAGTATGAAACATGTCTAGGGACCCATGAAAGGGAACCTGTATTTAAAGACAATCTTACATTTGAGTGATCCAAGATCCCGGGCAGAATATCAACTCTATATTAGCTCGATACAATGCCATGGCTTAAAAAAAAGGTCAAGAACAGATTTGCTATCACCGCAGACCCTAGTAAAGTCCCGTACTACTTGTGTAAGCCCATGTGAAAAGCACATATCTATAATTGCTGCGCCTGCATCATGGTCTCACGTATCCGTTTCCACCTCGTCCCATTCAACGTCTGGAACATTAAAATTCCTCGCTATGATAACGTTCTTGTTCTGAACGTGTAAGTCATGCAGTTTCTTATTCTGGGCATCAACACTTGCAGCAGTACTTCCCGGAGCAAGATATACGCATCCCACAATCAAGTCGGGGCAGCCAAGAATTTTGCAACATATTGCTTCAATGTCCCAAAATCTAGTCGGGGTAGCCAAAAATTTTGCAACATATTGCTTCAATGTCGGACGGTTTGTAAAGGACCGTATATTTGAGGCTACATTCCAGAAAGATGGCAATGCCCCCAATACTGCTACTGCGGTCATTTCTGATCACGTTATATTCTGGAGGGCATATTTCACAATCTCGGACGTTGTCATGTAGCCACATTTTTGTTACAAATACAATATCTGGGTGATGCTTAAATAAAACATGCTCCAGGTCTAAAGCCTTATTAACAAGGCTACAGGCATTGACGTTCAGTAGCCGAAGCTTGCCTGTATGCGCATGTCAGTCACTTAAAGAAGCAGTGGTTCTTGCACCTGTATTAGATGGGCTGTCAGTCACCGGATAGTGTTGATTTGTGGCTTCATCTTATGCGTACATCACTCCGTTTATCTTCATTTTATCATACAGTAGTGCAACCTCCTCTTTTCTTTTTCTGTTTTCTAATGCGCTGTTCCACAGGCATTGTCTTTTCATTCTTACATCACGCAAAAAGTCCTCATTGATGAAAATATTCGTGCCCTTGAGCTTATTTCGATTGCGTAGTACGTCCTTTCTTTCTGTGAGGCTTCACAGGTGCAGAATGATGGGTCTTGGTACGTTTGAAGAAGGTTTTCCAATTCGATGTATACGTTCAACACTTGTAACTGATAGATTCAGTTTTCCCTGCAGCATTCCCACCACAACCTCATGCTTCAAAGTTTGCTCTGTCTCATTATGCGTATCTGGAATGCCTATGATTACAGTAATGTTACTTGTACTGTGATTCTCTATTTGGTCAACCTTTTTTATCAGTTTCGCCACAGTGGATCGCAGAGTTAATAATTCTGTTTCAGTCATCTCTATCCTTTTTACCAGTGCAGGTATCTGGGACAAAGCCATTTCAGCACTAACAATTTTTTGTTTCATTTCTCATTTCTGCTTTGATATCCCTTTGCCCCTCTATCAGTTGCAAGAGCAGCTCCTGCGTTTCAGGGCCAGGGTTTGTTTCCACGTCTCCACTACACGCTAGTAACAACAATATGATCTCCGAACACTCGGCAACAAGCACACTGATGGCCTGTGGGCTCGGCAGCACTACAAGACAACAGTCATCTCGAATAGAGTCAAAGTAACGTTTCACACCAACCTGTGCAAACAGCGGGACAGGATTTAGCATTGTTGTCTCCCTGGTGCTGCCAAGCCCACTGACAGCACAGATAGCATCCTGGCTAGAAGAAACTACCCCCTGGGTTGATGTCGATGATCCTAGGGCTTTTGCTGTCCATGCACTTTCGGTGACTATTGCCCGTTTCGTAAATCCGCAGATTTAATGAAATTCGCGCACGTTCAAATACCAAGCAGCATGTTCCGGCGAAGTAAAGCTGTGATTGGCCTGTTGTGTAGCTGAACGAAAAAGCAGCAGCACCTGTGCAAACAGCAAGACGAGATTTAGCATTGTTGTCTCTCCGTTGTCCTCCGCAGGGGCATCTGCGCAGGTAGGCGTTTGGTGCGTAGCGACACCGTGGACCTGAGCTAACGGGGGGGGGTTGAACTCTCTCCCACGCCTAGGCGTGCACCCCTGTGGCCCCGGCTTCACGTAGACGGCACCCCAGGGCTGACCCAACCCAGGGGAAATCGGCAGTCGCCTTTTCCTGTCTCTCTCTCCCCCTCCTGATCTTCGTCTTTTCTCTCTTCCAATCTTTCCTGTCATCTCTTCACTTCTGTTTACTTCCATCTTCCAGGCGGCAAGGGTTAACCTTGTGTATGTGCCCTCTCTTGGTCACATATTATTGGGTTATAGTGGCATTGTACAGCTGGCTCTGGCATGCCTTTATAATTGTGCTGCCACGTCCCCATGTTGGGCTCGATGGTGGGCGGCTGGCATGGCTGCCGAATTCATATATACTTTATGGCCTCCTTTTAATTTTCTTAACTGTCTGATCGCCCTTCTTTTAAAAGGGGGTGCACCGAAGCAACAATGAATGTATTCATGAAGCCGAAAAAAAAATTTTCCTGCGCTTCCATGTGATCCACTGTGAAACACAAAAAAAAAAAAGAATGCAAGAACCATCTCTCCGTTTGTCGTTTCCAAATGCCTCACCAGTACCCTTGGTCCACGGTATCTAGCTACAGGTATGGCTAGTGGGAACCTTCTCTCGAAGTCCAAACCAAGACCCAGTATGAAAGCCTGACAAAACTCACCTCTTTTGGAACCACACATGTATCTATCACACCACATCATGCCCTGAACGGTTCCCTGAGGCGTAGTGTCTGATCAAGATCTAATTAACCTGATAGAGAGTGAGCTCCTTGAGGGCAGGAACGAACATCATGTAACACATGTACAGAGAATTAAGATTAGGCGTGACAACAAAGAAACCCTGACAAAGCACCTCATTCTTACATTTTGCACAAGCAAACTTCCAGAATATATTGAAACAGGCTACTTGAAGTTAAAGGTCGGACCCTACATCCCCAACCCCCGACATTGTTTTAAGTGCCAGCGATTTGGCCACGGTTCTCAGAGCTGCCACGGCCGTCAAATCTGTGCAAAGTGTAGTTCGCACAAACACGCTACAGACAAATGTGAAGAAGCCACTACCCACTGCGCGAACTGCGATGATGGACACTCTGCTTACTCCCATACATGCCCTACATGGAAACGTGAAAAAGAAGTACTTACACTGAAAGTAAATGAAAACATCCCGTTTAGGGAGGCATGCAAGCGTCTACTAATGCAGAGTCTTTTGTTCGCAAAGGTGGCACAAAAAGGGGCAGTGCCACCAAAGTCTGCGGCGCCCGCACGTACCACACAAAGAGGACTGGCGGCAGTGTCATTTACCCCCTCAGCGGAAGTAGCACAGGCTCTTCCGCCACCAAAAGGCTT